ATATAATATATTAATAGACAAGGTTAATTTACAATTTAAATTAATTAATAATTTAAAACTAACATTAGTTAATAATCAGTATTTAATAATACTAAATTACAATTAATATTAATTATGATATAACTGAAGAAAATGACAAAAAACTCTCGAAGCTTATAAGCTACTTTTTTTCTAAGGTCTAAAATAGCATGAGGCATGGCGGTGAGGTCAAGTTTTAAACCTTGCACGTTGAAGATGCGAAATTTTCGAGACATCACATAAGACGAAATTTGTATGTTATATATCTATACTATATTATAAAATATTTGACAAAAAACCCTTAAAAATAAATTTTTATGCATAAAGTACTGTTTATTGATACATATTACTTAAAATTCAAGATTACAAGTAGTTTTGCGTAAATACAACTTACTAAAGCTTCATTTTTAAATTCGTGTAATTAACTTCAGATAAACATAATCAAATACAAGATAAACATCAATTTTAAATATAAAAAATCTAAAATATAACTAAAATAATCATTAAATTTTAACAGAATATCTAATTATTATCTTTAAAAAAATATTATTAAAACAAAAATAAATTACTTTGTTATTAAATCTAAATTAAATTATAATAAAAAAAATTGAATTAAACAAATTAGACCAAAAAAACGAGAATTATCAAATAGTTAATTCGATACTAATTTTGATTTATTTTTTTCAATTTTTTATGCTATCTTCAAATTTATATTTTATTCAAAAATAAAAACATTATCGTTTTCTTAAAATCACATAAATCGTATTACATCGGTGGAGACAAATATTAAAACTAAACGTTAAAATGAAGATTAATCTCGTTGCATTGCGCGAGTATCATTCTAATATATATATATATATATATATATATATATGTTTTCTATATATTATTTCAATCAGATAATAATATTAAAAATGTACATTCACTAATTATTATTATTATAAAAATACTTTTGATTGAATATTTAAAATAAAACTTGGAAAGATAATTCTATAACTTCATTTTAATAGTGAGTCCATAACCATTACGAATTCGTGAAATTGTGAGTGATTCGATTAGATAGATCTATAAAAATGTAAAATCTAAAATTAAAAATATAAAAAACACAAAAAATAAAAATAAAAATAAAAATAATATTTTTTGGATCATGCCTTATAAAAACGCTATGGATCATTTCGTAAAGGCACATACTTGTCTCACACCATGTGGCACCTTTTTAAACACTGTATTTTTATTATTCAAACGACGCTTTTGAAATAAGATAAAAAATAAATATCTTATATCTACCAGATATAACATTAATAATAATAATAATATAAAGTAGCATATTTTCGTTTGATTTTTATTTTATATAAAATAATATTATACTTTTTATATAATTATCATAATAATTATTAATAATTAAAAAAAATGTTGTGGTTGTAAGTTGAGTGGAGATTATGAAAAGGCAACCCCAAAGCTTGCTAAGAATAGAAAAACAGACAAGCATCGGTTGTAGTGTTGATGTGCACATGACATGTTCAATCTCCCATGTTCTTTGCACGTGACCTTCTTCTCTTAATCACCCTTCCCCATAATCACACACCAATTCCGATTCCAATTCCAATTCCGATTTGGATTCCGATTCTTTCATGTTATCCTTATTTTTTTTTTACCGTTATTACTTCAAATTAATGCTTAAACTATCCGTTTTTTGTATTTTCAATCAAAAATAGTCGGATCTTGACTTTGTTTTTGGTTACTATTGGTCTGTTTATTATGATCGATTAATTCTGTAGATGGTTACGTATGATTTAAAATCATAAGGACTTTAACAACGTCTGGATTCGAACCCAGAAAAGATGAGATGTCTACTACGTCTCATGAAGCTTAACATGTCATGCCACAACTCAGGTGGTTAAACAGTTCGTCATAATGTTGTACCACAACAATCCCCATCACTCCATCGGATGAACCTGTATACTGTTTTCTATCTTTTTATTAGATTGTTTTCGATCTTGTCTCCTTACATAGGCCAGAAAATGAGAACAACAACGGATTAACAACTGTCTTTTACACTGTAATTGCTTTTTGGTCGTCTTTTTTATATATCAACCCAAAAGTGTTATAAGTGAAACCACGACGATATTATAATAACCCACAACCGTGATTCTAGAGAACTAGACATTTAACAATATTAGTATCATCATGAACATCGTTTATCGCAAACGATTTTCAGGAACTGAAATTAAACCTAAAAACCAAGAACATCGTTATACAAGGGATTCAAACCCGCATCTGGAAAGGGGAAAAAGCCACACAAACGAACGCAGTCACCGTTAACTTTTGTCGTTATTATAGCTTCAAAAACTACAGACACGTAAAGAAACAATAAAATAACTCCTTTTGTAAACATAGCTTTTCTTCCATTATAACAAAACCATCGATCGAGGACCCGCGCCACCGCATAATCTTAAGTAGGTCTGTTCTTGATTCTTTCATTTTTATCAGCCACATAAATTGAACGATCGGTTAAGGTTAATATATACAAAAATGAGTAAAAAGACGAAAATACCCTTACATAATAATATCTTAATAAATAGCTGTGGGACCCAGACTCTAAGAATCCTTTATCTGGGACCAAAAATGCAAACGCATGAAGTAATTTGTAAAATATAATATTTTTGTTTTTTCAGACTAAATAAAAACGCAGCTTTAATTTTCCTTTTCTTCAAATATATATTAATTTAAAAAAATATATAAGTAATTTTTAATTAATTAATATTTTTTATTAAATAAGACAAAAAAGACGAATCACGTGTGATTCTTGTGCTGACACGTTAAGCGTTTATTTACAGGGTTAATAATTAATTAAATTAAATGTTTAGGTTATCAACGGAAAACGGTATTATGTGGTGCAAATTTTCTAGTATTAATAAATCGTCAAACCATGTGCTACTCCTGATTTCTTTATGATATTATATTATATTATAAATATAAAGTTAAGAAATAGTTTCTCAATTTAAAATTTAATATATCAATTACTGTTAACAAAAATAATGCTTTGAATTGACTACAAGTTTACCTTCTTTCAACAAGTCATTGAATTTGCTTCACTTGTTATTTTTAAAATTATTTGTTTATTTTTTAATAGTTTTATTAAGAGATAACATCTTAAGAGATGGATCTTATTTGACAAAAAAAATATGTTTCTTCTATGTTTTAGAATATTCTAAACGATTTTGTATCATGAACCTCCCTTAACCAGTCAGCGCTCTAATTTTATTGTAAATAATTATTAAACGATTATATTTCATTTTGCAATATATATATATATATATATATATATATTATATCAGGAGAACTTCTTTTCAAACAACCCTTTAAAGGTCATTTTATTTCTATTATGCTTTCCCGCCAAAAATAAAAAGGTTTTTGTTTAGATTAAAATTTATTTTTGGTCCTTGCGGTTTATTTCTTTCAAATTTGTCTATGTAATTTTGCTTGTTTTTTTTATCCTTTTTTACTAACATCGTTAACTTTTTTTCCGTTAAGTCCTCCATGAACCTCGCACACAAGGATAAAAGAGTAATTTCATGTGACATTAATAATAACAAAAGAAATACGACTCTCTTTATTACTCTTTCACTCCCCTCCATCTCTTACCCCACCTTCACCATGACACCCGAAACCCCGCACCTGCCCCATATCTATGTCTCGATCTTTTTTATGGTTTCTTGAGCCGCACCTTCAATATTGCGGTAAGCACCCATGAACTGACGGTGCTTTGACGGAATCTTGAGCTTTGTGGGTTTCCACTGCGTCCCAAGTTTGAAGAGAAGCTTTCGTCAAAGAAACAAGAAGATGTGAAGTCCTGAAACCCACTCTAAACGACTCTCTTGCATCTTCATCTCCTACTGCAGTACTTCTATATTTGTTAGGACGTAGCGTTTTGATGAGGTTTTTAGTTTAAGGATTTATGTTCACATCTTTATTGATGATCTTGAGATGTTTGTGTTCAAGTTATCATATTTTGATTAATCCACATCATATTTGAAGGATAAAATGACCATAACGCCCACATCAGATAGTTAACAGCTGTTAACGGGAGGGACCAAATCCGAGCAAAACCGCAAACCAAGATAGCACAATCGAAATAAACAAACAGTGGGGATGAGAACAAAGAAAAGTGACAAAACACAAAGGACCAAAAGATGTATTTTAGTGTTTTGTTTATTTCAAGATTCATGCACTCTGACCTGACCCAGATAACATGATGTGGCTTTTGCCCCTCTCTGTCTGGGTATCTACAATCAAATCTCACTCTTTTAACTTCTTCTGCTGCTTGCCGACACCCACCCACTTCTTTACTTTTATCCCCATAATATGCATTCAAATAAAACAAAAACCAAACGAATCCCGTATATCCATAAGTCTTTACTAATGGCCTCATTTCTACCCGAAAGACTGTTTTCATGAAAACCCTCGGTTTACAGAAGAAAAAAACGTGAGAAAAGTAGCATAGTGACATAGTGGGGTTATCAATCATAAATAACCAAATGGGAAAAAAGTGTTTCTTACAAAATAGGCAAGAAATCACAGAGTCTAACACCACAAGACACTTTTCCTTGTGGTTTCTTGACATTTCCGACACATCCAAATGAAAAGTCACAAAAATAAATTGAGACATCACAAGTAGTTGCATCTTAAGAAAATGCATCTATGCACAAAAAGCAAGCTCAAGCCGTAGCTTGCGACAATTCAAGAAAAAATGTCTTGTAGCGTTAGCTTGCGGTTTCTTGGCTATTTTGTGACAAGAAATAAAACGGTGGCTATAATGCATAACTTTTTTCATGAGGTGGTCATTTAAGACGATACTGATTATCCCTGACCGATGGGTCTACATCCCATCCCTGAATGCCGTAGGGTACTGTTAGTGACATAAGAGCGTACGCAGACACGCAACAAGTGCAAGGAATGAAAGATGAAAGATAAAACACATGACGAATAAGACATGAAAAATAGAAAAAACTAATACGAACTGTCTATCTACCATCAGGCTTTAGTAGTCTGCTACCCTAGAAAATAGAAGAAAAAAAAACTAAAACAAGTCTCTATCTTATCATATGCATGCAAATATTACCCATAATAAAATAGAGGGTTGGGGGTGGGGGCCGGGAGGCATGTCTAGATGTTACAAATACCATAATTGCAATTGTTTTTATATAACAAAAAGCATATGTGATTGATGTCTAATGGAGTGAGTGAAAGTAAGAAAGTAGAAATCACTCACTACCCTTATAACTGTGTCATCTGGTCTTCTCCTCAGGCTTATCGTCGAGCGAGAGAATGGAAGAGTATTTTTTGATTCTTAATGAGATGAGAATGCTCGATGAAATACCCATCATCGGGAATACATATGACCAAACCTTTGACTTGTCTGGCTGAGACCCACCAACGGCAGCACCAGCAAGGCTGCCGATGGATGTGTTCTGCAAGATCATAGGCACACAACCCACGACTGTTGGCGCCAGAAAATCCCTCAGAAATGCGACCTTTGTGGCAGCCAAACCGTAATTGATGACGTATGAGGGGATAGGAGAGAAGCGGGCAAGAAGAACAAACTTCCAACCATCACGTTCGACTCCCCTCAAAAGCACATTGAAATACTTGTTACTACGTGCCCAGCCCATCGCTGAGCCAGAACTCCTGAAAAGAAGCCTGAAAAATACCACCACGATGGCTAAATCAATACAAGGATATAAATGTGTGATACATGGATATTCTGAGTTGTAGATTCGAAAGAACAAAAGATAAAGGTGCATTTATATATGCAAGGAAAGTTTAAACGAGAACCATAAATATTTTGAGAACAAGGAACAGGCAATTTCATGACGAATAACCCTAAATATTCACGAATACGATGCATTTTCATTACTTGTGATATCTATGTATTATCATCATGAATACTTTCCGTATAATACATGAATAGTTGGTTCTCATATTCTAAGATCTCATTTGAACATGCCCCTATGCATGTATGTATGTGTGTTTATATATATACAAATGGAAAACCAAACCATTAGAAGAAAGAGGTCATGTGATGATTCACACAATCAAATATGTAAAACACCCGATATTCGGATTCAGCAGAAAACTGCACATAAGGAGAGACAAGGTCTATAGAAGGGATAAACCCTTGTCAAAATCTCCTCTAGAAGATGCATTACTAAGAATTGCCTATAAGGGACTGACAGTTAACACTCATATCAATGTAGGATAGAATGTCACAAGTCACAACAGTTAGCAATGATTCTTGAAGAGCTAGGGTTTTAATTTCTATTTTTGAGTCTCTCTCGTGCTAAAAGGGTTTAGTCAAATGTACATTTATTACAATAGATCAATTCACAAGCCTGAACTTATAAGTAAAACATCAACAAAATACTACTAACATATCTGACAAATTTCATAACAGGGGAGACACTCTACTCGGTGAAAATATGGGCCGGATGGAATATGCTTGTAGAATTCCACTACTTCGATGTTCGGTACATGTTTGCATACTGTCCAAGGCTTTACACAAGGACAACATTGTCATGATCCTCGTGGATGTTCGGATACCTCATACACAGTGAGGTTACATGTTACATGTCCCATGTGGATGTGAATAAATGGATGTGTGATTCAGCATAACCAGCATATATGAAAATCTTGAACACTAAAAATGTAATTGTTGAACCAAAGTTAGTGAACGTCATGTGCAACTGAAAGGGTCCATTTCAACCCATCCCCAAAAATCAGATAGCACTGGCTAATTTTTCAGAAGGGTATAAATATTTATCCTATTTGTTTGGTGCACCAATTAATCTTCAATTCAACATTGAAGCTTGAAAGAGTTCTCAATCATTTAAAGAGGATTTGTCCAATTAATATTCTAAAATTTATTCATAAACACTCCCAAGAGATATTCAGCTCCTAAGTTCCTTGTTTGTCTTTTTCACTTACTTAAAAGAAAAACCTTATACAATTTCATTCACAAAATCCTTTTGGTATTAACAGAAGCTTACTGAAAGAAATTTGGCCTTTCCAAGCTATGGTATTTGGTGATTTGGTAATATGAAATCTTGATGCTTCAGTAACAGAACTTTGGTATTCAAAGATTGTGTAGCCTAAGTCCCCTGTAACAATTTTTCTTAAGAAGCAGTATATAGTGGGGGGGGGGGGGGGAAATCTTCATAAGCAGCCATGGACGAATGTGAAATTCCACATTATATAAGTTTGTTATTTTTCTTAAGAAGCAGTGTAGTGGGGGAAAATCTTCATAAGCGGTTGTGGGAGAATGTGAAAATTCCACATAAAATATGTTTGTGTTTTCCATCTTTCTTGACCTTACCTTTTCTTTATAGCGAATCTTTATTACCTAAATCGTTACTAGGCATATTGCTATGATTTATGTATTAGTTCCATCGTAAAAGAGAGATACTTAGTTGAACAACCTATTCACCTCTAACCCCTTTTAATGTCACAAAGGGGATATAAATACTTGATAACACCAGTGAACCTTTGTGGAACCGAATTGAACTCATGAGAATGCAACATCTTAAGAGGCAGGCAGTAAAGCACATAGAAATCATCTTGGCATAAAATTCCATCAAAGGAAATTCATAAAATAGTGAAACACCTATACACACCTTCTGAATTTGGTACAAGCTTATTTTGTTCAGATTCTTGTACTTATTCATTATTTCAGTTTCCCTTTTGAGCTATAACATGTTATCTTTCTTGTGTATTTAGTCTAAATCCGTTAAGGCATTTAGTTCATGCAGTGGTTTTCATGGAGGGATACTTTGGGGAAGTGAAAGGACAATAAGGATCCCCATTGTAGTGAAGATTAGTAACTTTATGTTGTGTTAATATGAATCGAGATATTGAAGTGCTAGGGTTTGAGGGATAATTATGATGTTGAATCAAAGGTTATATACAAATGCAGTTATCGTAATCAGAAAAATGTAGGTCTACAAACTAGAACGTAAATTAATCTCAAGTGAAAGAGGTAATAAGTACCTTCCGATCCAAAAGGAGAGAGAAGCGCCTAGAACCTTGGCGGAGAAAACACAGAGCAAGGCCGGAAAGAATCCAAAGAGGAGAGAAGCACCGGCCTCGAAGAAGACAGCGTAGGGAAGACATAAAGAGAGGGAGATGGTGTGAATTGCAACGTAGACTGGGATCGCCCAATTTCCCAAGCGATGAGACATGTGCCTGAAGAATTCCACCACCACTTCTTTGTCGAATGATGATGATGATCCTTTGATCTTCAAGACTGCAACAACTCCGAACACCACCGCTAACAACAATCCGAACTTGCTACCACCTCCCATCTCTAAGTTGTCAGGAATGGAGTCGGCTGTTGCTGTTGCAGCTACTGCTGCTATATTAAAGAAAAAGGAAAAGGAAAAGAAAATGGAAATGGAAATGGAAATGGAAATGGAAGTATGGAAGGAAAAACAAGTTGGAGCAGAAGCCAATATAATGGGCCAATTGTTTAGGCTTAACAAATAGCCCATCCCTTCGTTAAAGTAAATCAAGCAAAAAAGTTCATGGGATAACCGGTTTAGAAGGTAATAAGTTATCTATTGTTATAATTGATAGATTTTTTAATGTACGATGTCTTAATAAAAATATTTTGAAAGTACATTATTGGAATAAGTAAAAACAAAAATAAAATACTATAATAAGAAAATTTATGAAAATAGGTTGCTATTTCATTCATTTAGCCATTATTTATTTACTTGTACGAATTTGGTTTAGATGGCAATCAAAAGAATGGAAAACTAAAGTACTTGATTATATTACAAAACCAAGCCTAAATTTTAACTACATAAACAAATCTCTATTACACCTAAACCAATTTTTTTATTACATTTTAATATATTTTATCTTTAAATTAACTATTTACTCAGTAACTATTTACCAGTAAAATCCTGGTTCATTAAATATATGCAATAATTTACCAAGTAATTGCTTAGCCATCAGCTTTTGATTTTTGCCCAAAACAACATGAATCATATCACTATAAACTTTTAGATTACTTGGTTGCTTTTTCTTCCAATAATAGTCCTTTACTTCCATAAATAAATGAATGTAAGAAACAGTGTCAGATTTATATTACAATCCAATTGATGACATGCACAACATAAAAGACACCTTTGAAAAGGAAACTTTGGATGGAAAGTTCAAAATTTTCAATTCTGTTTCTTCCTTTGGACAGTCAGTCCAATGTCTAAAGTTAACAAGTTCCTCCTCAACTCAACTCATCATCTTACAAGGTGATGCCTTATCACACTCCGCTCTTCGTCCAATTCAAAGTTCCCTCGACCAAATTCCACGCTGCTAAAGAACGCCTTCAAATCCGTGATTCCATAATCCAGCACCTATTGCATAAACACAAAACCATCACCACCTGACCTCACATATTTTATAGATACAAGATATAAACCAGATTATTCATTAGATTACCTTGCTTTGCAATTCCTCCACCTTCACGTCAATATGAGTAACATCTTTGTTAGACCCAGATACGATCTCTTCAAAGTGCAGCGCCTCCTTCACAAGTTGATTCAGTAGATGCAATACAATTGCATTGAAATCCTTCTTGAATGTCATGTACTTTTTGAAACTCTGCATACCATCAACCTCAATTTGTCATCATCTATTATAAATGGGGTTATTGAGAAGAATATTTTTTTAAATGCACGACCTTCTGACAGATGTGCGAGTAAAATCTAAGGATAAAGCACCAAGCAATAGACTTGATACCATAAATGCTTCAAGTAAGCAGTTGGCTTAGGATGATGTTAAACTCATGATACCAAGGAGGAAAGTTAAGGTACCTTCTGTAGAGCCTTCTGCACTCCAAACTTCTGAGTAGAAATAAAGGAGTCAAGCAACACACGAATTGCCATGTCCACATCTTCCTGAGTCACATGCTGCCTCAGATGCATTCTAGCATGAGCTTCTGACATCCGTATCATTGATTCTATGTGCCTTACTGCTATTGGAACTCCTTGCCCATGCTATACATGTCACAGACAATTAATTAAACACAGGCTACATCCTCTGAAAAAGAAAAACAAAAAAAACATTTTTTTTCATGACAAGCTCACCGATGATTCTCTTCTTAATTCTGCATACACTTGTGTGAGTTTGTCTAAATCAGCATCATGCAATCTTGGAAATACATTTAACTTGGCATATGTGAGGTACTTCTTTAGCATATCTTGAGGAAGTATCTGAATGCAAAACAATATTTTATCAATCAAGAAAAGGCAACACATTGACACACAAAAGTAAACGAAAGGAGACCATTGTGTGTTATGGCACCTCAGGATCCGCTACCATGGCAGAGGCTTGGATATCTTCCTGAGAATTGTTGATGGACTTGTCGTCCCAGTTAGCACCTTTTGGTTGGGACTTGAAATGACTATCCACCACAAACTTTGCAAGCATCTCATCCATGACTGGATCCACCACATCCTGCACCAAATCATTTTCCATCCTTGTTAACCACAAGTCTACAGCACACAAAGACATCAAAAGAAAGCTTAAGTGATATAAATATAACCTTTACGACACAGAGAATATCAAATCTGGAAACAATTGGATCTGTTAATTCAACATTCTGTGAGAAGTTTTTGGAGGAGTCATACCTGCACAAAATGACCAGGCATTAGATTCGTATGGGAAGAATGCAACTAGAGAAGACGAGATCCATTTATCAGACACATATTTTGCTACATCAAAGACCATCAAGATATATATGTTCCAGAAATTTGGTAGCTGACTGTTTAATGTTTTCACATGCACAGAGCCAACCACCAATTACGGACACTAGTAAAGAACATTCACGTTGTCCAATCACTTATTACTTGATTACAATATTGTCAGCACAGTTTTTCCCACCTTCCTCCTATTGGGTTAGCAGCAGCAATGACAGAGCATCGAGCCTGAAGGGAAGTAACTATTCCAGCTTTAGATATGCTGATGCTTTGCTGTTCCATAGCTTCATGGATACTTACCCTGGCAAATGTCAAACAAATTTGGTATAAAATAAATGTTAATACTACAAACTGAAACCATAAACAGAGAAGCATGCTTCATTACCTATCCTGATCGTTCATTTTGTCAAATTCGTCTATAAGACATATCCCCTTATCAGCCAGAACAAGGGCCCCTCCTTCAAGGGTCCACTCACGAGTGACCGGATCCTTGTGCACTGCTGCTGTAAGTCCTACTGCGGAAGCTCCTTTTCCAGTTGTGTAAACAGCCCTCGGTCCAGTCTTCTCGACATATCTTCACAACAGAGTTCACCAGAAAATTATAGCTACTGTGGATTATTATACGATCACCAACTGTGGAGAAAAACAAGAAGCACTTACTTAAGGAACTGGGATTTTGCAGTGCCAGGATCACCTAACAGCAGCACATTTATGTCTCCTCGCAATCTGTGTTTCCCTTGCACATTCTTTTCCTGACCTCCAAACATTGCAAGAGCTAATGCTGTCTTTATGTCCTCATGACCATAAATTGATGGGGCAATGGACTTGATAATCTGGCCATTTTCCACAGAATCCATTTTGAAATCAGGTGTTATAGATATTCAAAATACAGAAAGGGAAAAATAAAAGAAAGCAAAAGTTAAAATCATGGCTTAAATCATCCCCAAAGGACAAGCATAAATATGGATGTATATCTTCTAACAGTGGTAAATGAGTACATGAAACCATACCCTTTCTCCAATCCGTGGGTCTTTAGACAGCCTCTCAATTTCTTCCTTGTCCTCTTGGGTGAGTTTATAGGCCGAGAATAGATCTTGCTTCTTTGTAACATGATTTGCTTCAATCACTGTGGCAAAGACCGGAAATCCGTTTTTCGTATTCAAAGATAAATCAAAGTTGTTAGTGTAGATGCCTGTAACCTCCTGAAATTAAAGGGAAAAAAAGCAAAAGATCTTTCAGGTATTTGCTTATATGAGAGCAAAATCTCAGGAATACAACAAAAGAGAAGAATAATACAATTTCTTCCCCAGGGCGAGCACAATCAATCAAGTCATTCAGAAGTATCACTTCCTTGTATCTTGGCAATCGGCCAGCAGGAACAATTCCAGGGCTTTCTTGAAGGGTAAGCTTCTGATAATTCCTGTATATGGTCTGCCACAAGAAGAGTATCATATACAGGTTCTTTTCCAAGTTACCAGAAAGCAAAGACAAAGATAAGTCACCTGCTCAATATTGACCGTGAATGGGCCCTTCGATTGGCATTCTGGGCAGGAACCAACCTTAACCTCTGAATACGAGTTTTGGAAAAAAGGCCCCAAAACTGATCCACATTTGTTACAGTCATACTTTACTTGCTGCAGCTGGGGGAAAACTCCAGATCGTCGGGTCACAACTCCTCCTATGCGAACCATCGTGTTTAAATGAATCTGCCTGAGAACAGAAATGCAAGACAGCTCTCAATTGCACATTTCTTGGAACATTAGATTCGATGATATAGCAGCTTCTAACAAACCACAAAGGTTATACCTTATGTTGCGAATCTGATCATAAACAGGTAAGTTGGTCACCCTGACATAAATTTTTTGATGGATTCTTTTGTAGTTTGGATGTAAATTAAACACAACTTTGTTAGCAACTTCCTCCATGACCTCAAGAACAGACTGGGGTGCATCTGCCAGCCAGATGGCAATGTTTGGGTGGATATAAATAAACTGTTTGTAATCAATCTCCAGACTGCACTTGTTGACTGCAAATATAAAAAAATTTAATTCAATATGACAACCACACGATCAAAATTGCGAGCTTGTATGCATAAACTAAACCCTTCCCCTGGTACAATGGGTCTTTTACCCTGGTCCTTCATCAACTTAGACATAAAAGCCAGACAAAATGGGTTTACCTGACACCATTTCATTTATCTGCCGAAGATATGCAAGGTCACGATGTTCACTCTTTGGGTTCTCATAAGTGAGTATGAACTCCTTGAACTTCTTAGCAATAAAGCGACGCACTTCATCTCTAGTAACCCACTCCCTTAGTGTTCCCTGAACACGGTACATCTCGAACTCACCTTCATCATTATCGTCATCCTACAAAGAAATGCCAAAGAGTAGTTTAGAAAATGAATATGTGATGAGATGCTACTAGTTGATGAATGAAACACATTATCTGAAATAAGAAAGAATCTCCGTACCTCATATGGATCATCATCTGTCTGATCAGTCATGGGCACATCCTCTCTTGAGTGTTCCCTTTGTGATCTACCAGGAGAACTTTGCATTGCATCAGTGTCATCAAAGTCACGTGCACCAGAAGGAGGCCTAAAATCAGCTCTAGTTCTTTTTGAAGGCCGATAATTTTCGTCATCCGTGTCTGTAACCAAAAATATAAATAAATGCAGCTTTATCATTTAAATTTTATCTTAGCCCTTATGTAATTCATGACAGAAATAGTTGAGGCATATTTCATAACCAAACTAAGTTTAACGTTTATTTGTCAGAACATGCAATCCAAACCAGCAAAAAAGGACAAGATGATAGAACATGCTTCAAAATTTTGATAGAAAAAACAAATCTCAAAGAATATGAAGTTTACATGCACAGACACAATTGTTTCAGGCAACTATGCGAAGCCCATGACAATCTTATTCTTAAGATGCATCTAACGGATACGAAGGCATGTCTGAATAGAAATATAATGTCACCAAAAAAGCATCCGTAAGTGGCCTAGCTATAGCGTGCTAAGCTGATATGGTTAATCAAAAAGTTTCAAGTAATATACAAGAGCTGGCTGGCATAGCTATAAGTGAATAAGTGATGCTGACTCCGCTGCTTAATTGCACGCTTTTTCTCAAATTAACTGAGACAAAAGATAACATATTGATGACGGCAAAGGATTTTACGGATACACTATCACCGCTGTAATCAAAAGAACAAGTACTCGCATAAATCTAAATAACAGAAAAGCTTAAATATCAACAGGGTCTGGAAGTAAAACGATACAAAAGCAGACACCAAACTGACCTTGGTCATGTAGAAGATGAGGAAGCTTTCGCTGTGAAGCAGTACCGTCCCTGGTAGCAAGCTCGATCTCTGCAGCCCTACGATCCGCCATAATCTGATCCAAATCTCTCTCGTCCTCAAGAGAATCATCAAGCCCAACCGATTCATATTGATCATTTTCCTCCATCCTCCGGTAATCCCTAAATTACAAAAATAAGGCATGTATGTTAGTGTGTAAATATACATGTACACACCGAGAGAATACAAAAACAAATTGACAGTGAAAATGTAAAATGAAAAGAAGCAACTGGCAACTTACTCTATGTAATTGTCGTTGAAAAGATCCTCGCCTTCCCCTTCATCCTCGTCGATTTCTTCGGGTTCATCCCTGATGATTTCTGGATCAACAGCAGCCTCATCGTCGTCGTAATCAGAGTAATTCTCCGAGGTACGGCTTGTATTGAATGGAAGCTGATCTGTGTTAAATCCCGCAGAGGTAGGGGAATCCGGTGTCAGTGGTGTGGACGGAGGATTTCCATTAAATTGACTGGAGTTCAGGTTACCTCCTTGATCTGATGAGGACGGCGATCCGTTGGGACGGTTCTCTCCACCGGCATTTTCTCCCGCCATCTGTCTCTCTTTCTCCTGTGTTGATTTGTTGAGTGGTGGCTCTTCTCTGCCTTCCTCCCCTTTTAGGTCGTCTGTAACTCTTGGCGGGAAATTTTCGCGCCATGATCTGTTAGGCCGGCCCACCCAACAGACCCGGCACGCATAGTGAATCAATCGGTACCCAACTCAACTGCGGCCCAGTTCCATAAGATTTACAACATGGTCTTAAGGGCTGTTTGGCAGATGCTGAATGATTTAGTACATAATAGTTAAGAGGTCAGAATGGTTAAGAGGGTCAGAATAGGGGTGAGCAGCGGAACTGGGTACCCGACTATGGAACCGGAACCGCCTTGGAACCGCCAGTTCTGGAACCGAAACTGATATGAGTGGTTCCGGTTCTGGTTCCTAAAATACGGAACCGATTGAGAATGGTTCCGGTTCCGGTTCTTAATTTTTCGGAACCGTTACCCGCCGGGTACCCGGTATTTTTCAATAAAAAAATAATTATTATTTTCTAATATCAAATTTATATTAGGTTTACATCTTGAAAGTACGCGTCATCTTCATTCTTCATTTAAATTCTTCATATAGAATGATTCGTATTTCTTCAAATTGTGTGTTCATTTGGATTCATAATATGTAATCGTTAAACTTTGAACATTTACTATTATAGTATGTAATCGTTAAACTTTGAACATTTTTCTATCAGTCTATTATGATTTGTAATCGTTAAACAATATTTGTAACCATTATTCTGTATAATTTGTATTCTTGCTTATTTATTTAGTGTTTTGGCAATGTTTTATTTTTTATTTCTAAATAACAAATTTTTAATATTTTAGGAAGCGGGTACCAGGAACCGGAACCGGTTCCCGGCGGTTCCTGTTCCGGTTCCAATATCTCAAGAACCGCCGGTTCCGGTTCCCATCAAAAAGGGCGGGTACCCGCCTGTGCTCACCCCTAGGTCAGAATGGTTAAATGCTAAATGAAATAATGTTGTTTGGTAACTGTTATTTGAATGACAATAAATTACCATTTTTACCTTCATCTGACAAAAACCCATTATTCCATTTTAATCTTCACTTTTTGTTCCTCTTTGCCCTCATCGATGGCTTCAATCTGTGATGAATCATCGAGAATCATCATCTGATTAGGTGAATCATTGAGATTTATGGGATGGGTTTCATCTTTTGGAACTAATTCTTGCCCTTGTTCAAC